GTGGGCTGACAAGGAAGGTGAGATCTGCTATGAGCCACATATAAAATGTGCAGTTGTGGGAGTGGTGAGACGTGAACTAGGAACCAGCAAGACAGAATGTGAATTCTCAGGAACAAGCAGAGAGGAACGTACTGGTTTATTAGCTTCTTTTGCTTTGGCAGGCATTTAATTCTGGGCATCGAAATGTCAGTACAGGCAGTTTAAAAGCTCCAGTGTCAGATGGGATAGAACCCTCATTGAGGAAGTTAAGTGGGGATATGAAATAAAGTTTCCATTTCTTGTTTCAAAAACGATTTATGGCTAGGTGAGCAGAAACATAGCAATATAACAATTCGATGAGTATCTTTTAGTGTCCCATTAGGCCAGGTGCACAAATGGTGAGACTGTGTTCAAAAGATACTGGCTATAAACATAATCCTTTGTTGAAAGTTCCCGTGGGTTACTATTTAAAAAAAAATCACTTTGTAATTTATACAAGCTCATGAATAAAGGAAACACAGATTATCAAAATTTTTGTTTTCAAAAAAGCTACCCTATAGTAACTTGTGAAATGTATAAATATTACTTGATTCTTGGGTGACAGGTCACTTGTATTTACTGCTTAAAATTGCAAATATTCAAATAAGAATACTGCAAATGCATTACTAAAATGTGAATGTGCCCAGTTTATTGGTCTGTGCCATGTTGATTTTAAATGTGGCTTCTCTGCAATAAGGCAAATTTTATTTAAATAAAAGTTAAAGCAGAGTTAAGCATATCTTAGCCTTCTTAGGTGGAAATTACATTTGAAGAGAGGGCAGTTTGTATTTGCTGCTTTGCATCTCTCACAGTGCCCAGCATAGGAAGTGTCTTGTATATTAGTTTAAATGTTTATTTTATTAGTAAAAAACATATTTACTAATTGATTGAGGGTAGCGGGCACTTAATCAATGCTCACTGAACCAAATATTTAGTACACAAGCTTTTGAGAAACGTGCATTTTTTTTCTGTAACTGTAGATGTAGCTGAAAAAGCAAATTGGTCACTTAAAATCTTTCATTAATTGCCTATAACATCTAGGAGAAAACCGTAAATCATTTCCATGGTACATAGGGCCCTCCTTGTTTGACTCTGGTACCCCAAGTCTGGTCCCCCCAAAGGACATCTGGGCTTTTGGTTGTACACCTGCCTATTGTCCTGGCTGGCTGACTACCCTCCCTCATCCATACTGGGCAAGTCCAATGTACCCTCAACAGGCTCCCGAACACTTCCTCTTTTAAGAGCAGAGACTGTATTTTCCATCTCTATATTTATGAACTAGCAGCTGCTCATTTATAATGGGTGATCAGTAAACGTCTGTTGAGTTAAATGAATGTGTACTTATGACTGGAAATTCTCTACATAATACTATGTTTATAATTTGCCTGATATTTAAAAAATGCAAATGTGTTTGTCATTTGGGATTACTTAAAATATCTGACCCTTCAAAAGGAGCTAGCTTTAACATATTGGGAGAGTAATGCTTCTTGAAACATACTCCCTTTGAGGGCCTAAGAGGCTTCTGTGACTTCAGCTCTATCACACTAGTATTGGAATAAAGAAACATCAGTAAAAGGGCCTTGCAGTTGGCAAAGTGGTGATTCATTTAGATGGAGTCATCATGTTTTAAATTAAACTCTTTTTTTTTTCTTTTTTACATCAATACTACAAGGAAATAAACTCTTTCTTAATGTGCAATAAAGAAAAGTGCTTAGAGTGGTCATATGTCTGAACGCATCACCCAAATTGCTAGTGGAGTAACAGGATTTTGTTACAAGCTGATGGGTCACCAGTTTGAGCAGGGAGGTTTTTTCAGCTTCGATGACCTCACTGTATAGGCATTGTGATTGAGATTATTATTTCCTGCAATTGTTTTCTAAAGAGTTATTTTTAAAATTCAGGTTACACTTTGATGCAATTTGTGCTTAGGTGTACGGTAAATTAGCCAAACCATAACAAGACAACAATAAGAAAACTGCACAGGAAACCTAGTACCTTGGAACTAAGAATAATGAATAAATAAAGAATTTGTTGCTTGCAAGATCTGAGCTAATTTAGTTAGCATTTAATTTATTTTCCTTTAGCATAATCTTCTTGGTTAAAACAGTTTTTACCAGAAGGAAAGAAGGTAGATGATCTTTTCAATATAAGTATCTTCTGATAAGTTCCTAAGAAAATTTTAGGAAGAAATGATGGCAGCTTATTAAAAATTAAGTTGGTCGAAATTGTGTCTTTCACACAGAAATTGTAATGTTCTCTTTGATGCCAGATCAACATGTTCAGTACTTAGCAGAAAAAAAGAAAGTGAATGGTTAGAGTGGTATTAGTCTGTTTGTCCTGGAATACAAAGAATGGTGAGGACAGATGGATGTAAACAAACCTAATTCAGTATAAAGGTAGCAATAAAAGAAGGGCAAAAGTAAAAGACAATTTGTTTTTAGCCGAAAAGAATTTGAAGTTAAATTTATTATATGTAGTAACTATGAGATTTTTTTTTTTTACCAGATTTTCTTTCACCCAACTAATAATTATTGCTGAAGAAAGCAATGTTTTGAGCTGAGGACAGTGCTAGCCATACAAAAATGTATAAAACATACTGCCATACCTTGAAGGCCTCTTAAAGGTGGGGAGGTAAGACTTACTTACAAGATGGAAAGAGCTCCATGGAATAATTAATAACTAATATATTTAGCACCCAAAGGTATAAAAAGTATTTTTACATACTTTTGTAAGTTTAACCATACATTTCTAGATTTCATTTTTCCGTTAGAATTTCCTTTGGTGTTGTCTTTGGAAAACAGCATTAAATTTCGGACTGTGATGACATCTTAGCTTTACTTCAATTTTCCCAACGTTTCTTATTGGTTCTATTATGGAGATAATACAGATCCTGGAATTTGTAGGACAGAACTGATTGCAAATGTTTTATCATGTTGTTAGATTGTGTGACGTGACTTCTGCTTAAGAAAATATGGTCACCTTATCTACCTGTGGCCTCCATTTTCTTATCATTTAGTCGATAAAAACTTTAATCTGAATTTTGTTATATATATTTTGAATATATAGTTAGTTATATATATTATATATTCTATTATATATATTATGAAATTATACTTTCAAAGGTGACCTTATTGTCAAATCCAATGGTCTTTTTACCCCTTATGTTTGTTCTCTTTAACCTTTCTTCGGTTCTATTCATTGGCTTTTCTTCTTTAAATATTGAGATTGCAGGTCTCTTCAAATAGCTTATATTTTTCTTTGTCTCCTTTCATGAATCCTCTTTTGTCTATCACCAGCTTCATTCTTCCAAATCTTAAAATGGTCTGCTTTCTTATGGACTGCTTGAGCCACACAGATTTCTTAAAGGATCAGGAATATTGCTTGCATATCCGCCTCCACTCCTCACTTCTCCTCCAGACTGCATTATTGCCTTTCTTCCAAGCTTTATTTCAACTCATACCTTCTCCCTGTAGCTTGCTTGCCCATAGCAATTAATTTTCCTTTACATTCTCAAGCATTTGACCCTTACTAGCTCATCCTGTTAACTTGGTGCTCATGTCTCACTTCCTAGTTAAAAGGCAAACTCCTTGAGGATAAGGGCTGTACTTCAGCTTTTTTTTTTGTTTGTTTGTTTGCTTGGTAGGGGACACTGAATATAATACTCAATAAATATTTGTTGACTGCAAAAAGGCACAATATGTTCCATGATTTCAATACAACACAGCCAACATTTTGTCCAGGTGCGCATATTAATTTTTTTTTCTTTTTCTCCTTTTTGGCTACTGCCTGTGACTTTGACAATTATTGTTATAAAATTACCACATGCTTCCTTTCTAGAAGTAATAAAAGAATTAAAAGATGGTAAAAACAGGTCTATGGCAGATAGTGGGAATGAATATATACAAGGTTACTACTAAGTGCCAGACACTGCTCTGTACGGTAAGATTCCTTTTAACAAACTCAAGAAACTGAACTTCAGCAAGGTTAATTTATCCAAGGTCCTACAAAAAGTAAATGGCTGTGCTGAATTTCAGAAACTCAGGTCGGCCTGCTTCCAAAGGACAAGGAAAGCAGTTTTGGTGTTGGATGACTGTGAGGCTTAAGTGACATAATTTCTTGAAAAAGCACTAGGCACAATATTTGGCGGTCAACAAATGCTGCTCACGCACACATCTGCTCAGGAACTGGGTCTACTTAATCAGGAGGGGGGGAAAGCTGTCTGCATTAATTACACTTGTTTCTAACTCTAAGGTTCATGTTTGACTGCAATAATTCCTATGCCCCCCTTCATACGGACGCTAGAAAAAACGCCTGGCAATATTTCAAATCATTGAAATGCTTATTTTTCTCCCCTAATCATAACAAATTATACTTTCAAAAGAGAAAAGGGATTCACAAAGTTGTCTTCAGCTGAAAGAGACGAAAGGAACCCCATAATGTATTCCTGTAGAACAATTTATTTGACGTCTAGAGTTTTTTCCCTGACGAAGAACAAATGCTTCTGATCCGTAAGGCACTTCGCGAGGTAAACTGAGCGGTCCCAGCAGCAGCTGGGCCTCCCTTGAAGGTCGAAATCAAGCACGCTCGCTCTCCTTCTAGTCGCCTCTTTTAGGTCCTCCAGAGGCTCCGTCTCTGCGGAAAGTTAACGCCGTGTCGCTACTGCCGAAGGTGGGACAACCCAAAGCTCACTTTGCCTATCAGCAAAAACCTTTTGTATTCATCTGAGGCGACAAACCAGACAAAACGCCCGACCCAGCTGTTCTGAACCTCCGGGAGTAGGTTGAACCACAGTTCCTCCGGATTCCTTCCTCAACCGCTTGCTGCACCTGGACGCGGGCGGCGCACGACCCTCGGCCATGACGTCACCGCACCTGGCACCAGCCGGGGGGTTGGGGAGAGTGCCCGAACGCGGCGGGGGCGGGGCAGGGAGAACAAGGGCCTTCTCGCGAGATTTGTCTCCTCCCAGGCCCAGCTCCCCGCACCTTCCCGGCCTCTGTCCGGGTGTCCTCGTCAGTCTTTGGTGTCGCGTTCTAGAACTGCGGGCGCTGAGGGAGCGGCAAGGGGCGGGCTTCGAGGCTGGGCGGGCGCTCGGGGTTGGAGCTGAGGGCCAGGGTGAACCGGCAGTTCCCACCCCCCTGCGGGAGCGACAAGGGGTGGGAAAGCCGCCGTCTGGGCAGGCGGGCAGAGCCCTCCCGCCGCCGTGGCTTCGGCGGAGGCCAGGCGTGAGGAGCTGCCGCCGCCTCTGCCTCACGGGCCGCGCTGAAGGGACTGGCCGAAAAGCGCCGCGGGCGAATGGAGGCGCCTCCTCGCCCAGTCTGAGTTCAGGAGGGGCAGGAGCAGAGTGCGGGGCCCGCCTCCTGCCGCAGGAGCGGCCGCGCGAGCCACAGGAGGAGCGGCGGACGTCGGCTTCTCCTCGCGGAAGCCCCCAGCATGGGTAAGAGACTCGGGGGTACTTCCCGCCGCCCGTCCGGACCCTCCTGACTCGGGGAACCGGCTCCCCTTCTCGGCCTTAGTGGGAGGCGACCGGGGTCAGCCCCTGCGCTGCAGCACCCCACCCTCGCCACCCTCCCCACCGTCCCTCCTCGCCTTGCCTTCCACCTTGTTCTTCTCGCGGAGAAATTGGTCAGAGGGTTCGCGGGCGCTTCCTCTCCCACTCCTTTCTCCGCCTCTGGTCCTGTTGACCTAAAAGGTGCGGAAATGGGGGGCGGGGACGACCGGCCACCTTTCCTCGCCTGTTCCCCAGCTAAAATCGGTGTCGACCTTCCTTTCCTTCCCCACCCCCTTCCCTCCCTCCCCGCTTCTCGTCGAATGGGGGAGGGTGACCTAAAAGCTTGACATAGTAGCACTTTAAACTTCTTTATTTTCTGCGAAGCTTTGTATACATTGGGTTTTTAAGGATTTCGTACGTGTACACAAACACATTTGGAGGAGGTCAGAGAAGGTATTTTTTTCCCCTTGCTGAAACTCCAAAGGGATGCCTCAAGGACAGGGAAACTTAAGTGTATTTACTCCGGTCCTACCGAGGCTAGTGTGTTGGCACCTAAACATTCAATCTCCTCGTGAGGACTGGGTTGAGGTTTGATAGGATTTCAGCGTTGAACACTTTGAGGAGCAGTTTCCTGTTTGGAGTTAGACTTCCTTGCTAGAGGAGAGAAAAGTACAAGGCCTTATATGTTATTTACTATGTGTTTTAAGGTTTTGTTTGGAGTTAGAGAAAGCAGAATGTGTTGCAGCCTGGTTTGAAAAGAAGTTTTGTTACGCGGTGTAACGATTGTTTTGATAATGAAGTTCGGTGTGGGCTAGGCATTAACTCCCTCAATCCTTTAAAAATTAAAAGCTGAGAACTTAGAATAGCTTTCTTTTTTTCTTCTTAAATCAAATTTGTGCCACCGCAAGGTAGAGCGTGTTCCGTGAGAGTAAACCCAAGTTTCATTTTGCAGAGTAAATCAGGAGGACCCTATCACTTTTTGCGGTTGAGAGTTTGGTACTGCTTCATATCAACAGACCATTTATTACTGAAATTAATAATTCATGAAACTAACAAATGATTTAGAAGCAGGACACATACAGAGTACTGCTGATGTGGCACCCTCTGCCCACACTTTGTTTTGTGGGGGATGCTTTGAGCATAGTGTTTATAGACCTTTGCGTAGCTATTCTGTTTTCTTAGACTTTCTCATTTTATGTTTCTCCCCACCTCCCTCTTGCTTTCAGGTAACTTTTGTACACAAAGTGCTCTTAAACTTGGAAACAGTGAAATAAAATGTTTGCTATTTGGAACTTTCAAATGAATTCCTTTCTAATTGATTAGTTGAGCTTGAAAGGTAATTGTGAGCTTATTCCTTTAAGCATCAAATTATAAAATCACTTTAACTGCTTTGGATGAAAATCATATTAAAATATACAGTACTTTTCTGTCTTACCTAGGATGCAGAATATAATGAAACTTCTTTAGATGACCTAGGGTCATCGTTTGTGACCATCAGTTACTGTGATGCCATGAGAAATTTGGATAGCATATAGGAATGTTCTAAATGCTAAATAACATTCGTTTTCATTTTGAAGTTAGTTAAAATAAGTACTTTTTTCCTGCTTTACTATTGGTTGTGGTTGTAACTGTGATTAGCATCCACCTTCACCCTCCCTTTCCTCATTTTTCTGGAAGTGTGGAAATCATATGCAAATTTGTGATTCTGCATAGTGGTAAAATCAGGCCCCTACTTAATGTATCAGGCTATCTCTTGAGAAAAGTATGTGAATACCAATACTTGGATATTGGAATACCTATTTTGATTGTCCAGAGGCATTTTCTTTGTGATTTGTGTTGAGGTTCTTTGAGTTGCCATATAGTCTTGGTAAATTTCAACTTGACTAAGAATGTGTTTCAAAGGTCTATTACTTGGGGCATTTGCTGTTAATTTTTGAAAAATGTGAAAATTTCTTAATGAATATATACTTTAAATTTATTGGCCATGTAATGATAAAATTCTCAGGTTCATTTAAATGGAGTTTCCTCTTTAACATAAATCTCATTTGCTTGGTTTTGTTGTCAGATGTCTTTATTGCTTATGATTTAAGATGCAACCTAAAATATTTACATGAAATTTTATCTAATTTGCCATAAAATGAAAAAATCTTAAATTTCTTTGAGATAACTTGGGTATCTATTAAGTGATGGTTCTTACAATTAGTTATAAAACATGAAGTGTTTTTGGTTCGTGTTATATTGCTAATCAATTTTATTTGTAAAGTTAAAGTGAATAAATTTTTATTTATACATTATCCAAACCTGTGATTTTCTTCCCTTCTCTGTCAAGGAATATCTTCTTCTATTAATAAATGTAAAAACAATTTATTGTTTTCAGTGATAAAAATGTTTAATTTTCTAATGTATATAAAGAAGTGGTGTCATTGTATCAAATGCTTGAAGATAGGGAAAGAGGTGTAATGATTTCTTTTTTTTTTTTTTGAGACAGAGTCTTGCTCTGTTGCCGGGGCACTTGGGCTAGAGTGCCGTGGCGTCAGCCTAGCTCGCAGCAACCTCAGACTCCTGGGCTCAAGTGATCCTTCTGCCTCAGCCTCCCAAGTAGCTGGGACTACGGGCATGTGCCACCATGCCCGGCTAATTTTTATATATATACATATTTTTAGTTGTCC